AAATATTTGGTTTGATTTGAGAATTTAAAATAAGGTAGATTGTACGGTTCATTTCATGATAAGCGTAAAGATATAGAGACACACCCACAGGACGATCAGAATTCACCAACACAAATCCAGAATATCCATATACTGTATATATATAATGTGAAACTATGTGAAAAGTCTATCTCACTCGCTTTCTCTCTCTCTGTGTATGTCTCTGGTTGGGTCTCAGTTAGTGGAAGGAAAAAGCTGCATCGATAAATAGGTCAGAGAGCTTTTCCACCCCCCAATGGTTTCAGGCCCAGCTTGGCAAATTGAACATAATTAAGGCCCAAGGCAAAGGTTGCACTTTCCTTGAAATAGTGGGAGGAGTGGTGCAGGAGGTAGCCAGCTACAGGAGGAGTTCAGTACAGCATGCACGGGCGCGGAGGATCCGGAGAGCCGCAGCAGCCGCGAGACGAGGAGGGAAGGAGAGAGAGAGAGCGAGAGAGAGAGAGAGAGAGAGAGAGAGAGAGAGAGAGAGAGAGAGCGAGGATGGCAGCCATTACAGAGCCAGGAGAACTCTCTATACACAGGCTCTCACTGACTCACACATTGTTCGCTGCTTCGTCCTTTCTATCACGTTTTGATATGAACATTAAATTAATAGTTTGACATTTTGGGAGATTTGCTTTCACTGTGAGAGTTAAGAGTCAGGAGAAGATTGATACCATTCTCACTTCTCCCTGTTAAATATGAAGCTACAGCCGAGAGAGAGTGAGCGTAGCTTAGTATTAAGAATGGAAGCACAAAGAATTGTTTAGATATAATACGGCCGACTGGATATGCACATAAACATTTCCCTGTTTAGCACATCCTGCTCAGTACTATTTAAATGATTAGACTTTACACTGGGATAACATCACAAAACACAACCCTTTCATATATTAAAAACTTGTACTACAAAGAGTGTTAATTAACATTAGCTGTACAGTTTGAAGATTTACAGTCATGTCTTTGCTAATGGCAGGGAAATAAAACTGCCACTTGATGTGTGAGTGCACATAGTTGTGTTCAGTCTTTATGCTAATCTCACACTGCTCTGAGCATAAAGATGGATGATACGTCTCCATTTCCTCCATTTGTACAAAACTTTAGCCAAAATATTCCGGAGATTCAAGTGCTGCCATCTTGCACTTAAGGCATGATATAACAAATATAACTACAAGTTTTAATCAATTTTTGCTTCAACAAAATGAAGCCAGTCAGAGGCCTGAATAGCTCATCGCTCCTCACCTCATCCTACCTCAGCTTTGTGTGTCATTATAGTGTTTCTATTATCACACTGGTATTCTCGCTCGTCTGGAGATGCTGTTAGCGACATGGGATGCAAAGCTCCATTAGTGTCCCTGCGTCCTCCGCTCTGAGGCCTTCACTTTGGCAGGGAGGACACACAGCAGAGTATAACCACACGGGGATCGGGCAGGTTCAGGATGAAGAGGTGGAGGTACGGTACAGGAGAGTCAGCTACATTAACCACCCGACTACACTGACGCGTTAAACTGGTGAAAGCAGATTGCAGCGAGCTGGCTGTGTATTAAGGGTCAGCCTCATTTTACACCGCAGCACCATCTCCATTAATGAGACCTGATGGAGAGCAAGGACTCCCTGCAGCAGCACTACATGACATTATCTTCAGCTACCACCAGCACCTCCTCACATAAGCTTTCTCATTAGCTTTGCCATTAGCTCCCACATAAGCGGAGGGTCCTTGATAACTGCTTGATGCTTTTTGCATGAGGCTACATGATGGTATGGAAGCAGAAGCACACACACACGTTTTTTCTTTGCATTTAAAATGAGATTAATTGTGGGCATTAAACGATTAAAATGTGTTTGTGAGAAACAACAAACAGAAAAGACAAAACAAATGTTACAAAAGCTTGAGGACTTGATTGTTATAAAAGACTGATGTAGTACACATGACAGATTATTTAAATATCCATCTTTAATAGGAATTCAGGAGTCTTATTAATTATTTACGGTTGAAATATAAATCTAAATGCTTTAAAACTGGCTATTATATCTTAGACCAAAGAAAATCATAATTTATTGTACATGTTAAATGTTTTTTTGTTATGTTTTGAATAAAACAGTATTTAATGTTTCAATACAAGGTAATTTTTATACACTACAACTGGCATTTTTATTTTAAATATGTGAAAAATTGAGACATGAGATTCAATCTGTTTTGATTCTTGGAATTTACCTGCTCCAGTCTTAAATGGATGTGCAGCAGCATCGCACCAGCACGCTGCCTTCCCTCCCCCACCACAGACGCCCGGTGTGACCGGACGCCATATGGCGAAAGATTTACCATGGCGACACGGCCAGGAGCCTCTAACTCAAACCTCCATCAGAATGTCAAGGAATGTCAGATAGAGAAGGAGGGAGGAGATGACAAGAGGAGGCGAGGAGAGGAGAGGGGAGAATACAGTAGCATTGTTCCCTCAGCGCAGCAGGCTCAGCTGGCCTAAACAGTCCCAGTCCCCTCAGCCTCATAAGACTAATGGCGGAAAATCACAACCTGGGGGGTTTGATTCCCTAAAGGCCCACTGAGACCTGATTAATATGCAGCTTTTTTTCGTGTGAAACACAGACATAAATGCGTGCTCTGAAATGTGTGTTGCATGTGCTCAGATTTACACCGACACAAGAACAAAAGCACTCATGTATGTGCGCATGTAGATATGATGTGCAGGTAGCTCGCCGTTCATGGCGCACAAAGACGTTTGTGTCTGCACGGCAGTCACACACACGCACCATGAATCCCCTGCAATAAAAATATTCAGCTGATTGTATGAAGTATGAAAACCAGACATTTACTACCTCCCTGCCCTGCGTGGTATATCTGAATGTGCTGTGCAGGCATTTCCGCCATCTCTCTTCTCTATGTATGGCTTCACCTTCCCCCACCCTCTCCATCATACTGTATACTCCTCACCCACACAGCAGGCTCCCCTCCCCCACCCTGCTCTCGCCACCCTCGAGGAGGATGGAGCAACCAGAGAGAAATTAATTGAAATCTAAACCCCAATGCAGGATTAACTAAGTAGGTGAATTCCAGTCGTCACATAATCAGGGCTAGTGTACTATTTGACTTTCATCAAATGGAGTTGACTGAAACAGCGACCAGGGATAATGACAGGAAAAAGGAGCCAGCTGCCGTGCTGCCACCCCCCCTTCTCCCTCTCTCCATCCCATCCCTTCCCCCCTCTCCTCAGCATCATCTCTCTATCCATCCCTGCCTCCTAACCTCAGACTTGCATCTCTGCTATACGACCGACGCGCCGTTGGTGCGTAGAGATCTCAGCAGGGGTAAAATCATGAAAATGCTGCTGTCATATTTTTGTGTGACCTCCTTCCTGCTACACCCACACACTTCTGATATAGAGACAGATAACCAGTGGAATCCAACACTTGCTGGAAATAGATCTTCCTTCAACATACGTTTTCCCCGGTGATTTAAATGCTTCATCAAACATACACACGCTAATGTTCACTTACAAAAATCTGAGTACTGAGCTTGGAAATCTTAAATACAAAGCCATGTGTGATTCTAAGGTATTTTGTAAAGTGACTGTGGTATTTACTGTATGAGTATGTGGAGCAAATTGCAGAGAAAAATATTGTCCTTCCCTGATTATTGTCAACGCACCATGGTATTTGGTTTTGTTAGAGACGACGGAGGATGAAATGTAGAAGTAAAGTGGGTCAAACAGCACGCCGCTCTGATGAAGCATGACTTGCTGCATAAAAAAAAATGAGAGCATGTCAGAAGATTTTTCTTTCACTTTGAGAAGATGATGGAGATAGTGCAACGCAATGCGCTATCAAGCAAAGCCTCTTGATCTATTTTGAACACTGAAAATGTCCTCAGTTCAGTCTTACTCTGTACTGTATGACAGACATTTTTTGATCAGATATTGATGCAAAAACCTGAATAACCAATGTATCTGAGCAGAAACTCCAGAAGAGACGTACAGAGATTACAGAACATAAAGACGGTTGTTGCTTTTGTAGAGTAAAAACACTTCACGTTATTCAAAATGCTACGGTTAAAATGAATAGTGTGTCTCCTGGCCTCCTTTTATTTTTAAATATTTCTACAAATCAAATGGAGGGAACATGTTCACATTTTTCAAGGCAATTTTTTCTAATTGCTGCTTCAGTTTGAATGCAACGCTGCTGCTGCTGTCACCAGCAATAACACCATTACATTTCTTTAGAATTCCACTCTGTTTGAAAATCTATATTTTAGCGAGCTCTGTGTGTGTGTGTCTAGGTGTGGATAACAGTGGGTGTGGGCAGTAGCATCAGTATGAGCAAGCTGGCAGCTACTCAGTTGATAATATAGCTTGGGCTTATGCCCAGTGAGGTTGACCTCAGCCTGTTGGCTTGCAATGTCATTTACCACCTGCCACACACACACACACACACACACACACACACACACACACACACACACACACA